TATAAAGTGCCATCTGTATTATAGAACTGTAATATCTTTAAACTTCTATTCTTCATATCTCAGAGCAGTAGAGTCATGCTGCAGGTGTAAATAGTTGTTCGTGTGATTTTTGTGAACCAATAGACAACATGCATGAATATTGTCACTCTATGGAGGAAGAAATGAAGAAAAAAAGGGAAAAGTGACTACTTTACAGCTATCAAATTCTGTATCAATTATGTAAAAATGTGTATTGAGTGTGTTTGTTTTGATCTTTTCATCAAGTCAAAGAGTCAGAGTGTGTGTTGATGTGCTGTGGCTGTTCTTATGTGTGTTTCACCTTCCAACACTGTCTAACATCTAAACCAATACGAGATCAAATCTATAACTTACACTTGATACCTTCTAGGTTTTATCATTGCTTTTTTGTAATATTTCATGATTGATAGTCACGCTAAAAAAATGGTTTCGGGTCTGAATCAAATGATGGAGAACAAAGGTCCAAAATATTTCGAAGTGCTCCAAAACGTCCCCCATCTTTTCATGTGATTCCGATGCACCTGGACTAAAAATGATTTTGAAGCGAAGTCTTTGATGCATTTTCGCAAAATCATGGCATTAAATATGCATTAATGCAGGAATTTTCTAGAATATATCATAATGCCTGAAATGATCTACATCATTAAGAAGCTATAAATATCATTCAGAAATTATACTACATGAACATATTTATTTTTCAAAATCATCTAAACAAGATACTACTTACTCAGATCGGACTTAAAATTTATTTAGAGTTACTTATCAACAACTCCATCAATTATACATACAACATCTATTAATCACGGAAGCTATACCAAGACAAGGCGTATATTGAATCAAACAAAAAATCCAAGAACACTCTTTGTGTCGGGTATAACAAGTAGTGTGAGTAAAACTCATATACGTAAGTATTTTACTGGCTGTATCAAAGTAACAATGAAGCAATATCGTACAACACCATATCTAAGGTATATTATGAACACTTTATTTATTGCATAGTTGAACTACTTTTTTTGCAATAGATATGCTTTTGTTGTTCATCGTACGCATCAAGAAGCCAGGCGTAATCTTCAACGACCCATAAATTTGCGTCTTCTTGGCCCTAAATGTCATGTTGAATATGCTACGAACTGTTCAAGTATTTCCGACGATCGTCCAGATTTTGCCAACAGGAAAATTGTGGTCACTCGAATACCTGAAAATGTTAGTGAGAACGACTTGCGCCATTTATTCGTCAATTGTCATATACTGAAATATTGTCCAGCACACACTGTCTATTATGCAGTCATGACGAACAAAACCAAGAACAACAGTAAAATTTTATCCGGGTACAAACAGTTATTTTTACAGATTTGAAAAGTATTACTTCTACTCTTCATTCTATATAGAAATGTAAGCGGATACAATAATCAGTAGTGGCGACAAGAACTTTTAGATAATAATGTTAAAATTAGTTTATTTTTGCGAGATTTAGAGATAGAAAAATACGAAATGATGATAAACACTAGCAGTACTAGACCATTATTAATTTTTATCTCGATTATTCAGTAATTGCCAATAATTATTATTAATATTTAGTACCGTTTATCAGCGTTTCCTTTTCTCATTATTTTAATGATATTAAAGTTTTTATTGTTTCTTACTGACTAAAACATAAAGTAATTTCTTATTATTTTATTATTCAATACTCTGATTAATTACCAATTTTGATTACTCATTATTAGTAATAAGTAACTAAAAATCAGTAAGTAAGAATAGTAATCACTAATAAAATGATAAGAATAACGAGTAATAAATTATCACTGTAGCAAAGTAATAACAAAACAATACATATAATGGCACAGATAAGAATAACATGCACATACTACAATAAAATGTGTAGCGTTTATGGCTCGGTAGTGATAATGTAGTAGGTAACTCTAAAAAAAAATGTTTCATATTTTACATGTGTCTTAGTCAATATGATAAGCATTCATTCACCCGTTCTATTTTGTGCACACAGTTACATATAGACAACTTAGTTGAACATGCTAAATTTATAACCAATTTCATTTCTCTTCCTCTAGATTATTTCTTGGATAATCAATATTCGAGCATATGTGTAGAAGTTGATCGATGATTCCATGCTGGAACCCCATTGCATCTAACAGTGTAGGTGTGACTGTAGTTGTAGGTTAGATTTTGCTTAATCGTGCAGGCGTTGATGTCAGTGACCATGTTGGGTGTGGATGGATATGAATGAGGACGCAGAGTCTATGTATTCTTGTAGACCTTCGGCTGAATGTCGAATAGCATGTTTCATGTGTATATTGAAGAGTGGGTGTGAGTTTGGATCAGTTTTAGTTTGTGACTGTATGTGCAGGTATATGTATAGATACAGTTGTGTGTGATTCAGGACGTGAATGTTAATGCCGTGTAATTGGCAGTTGTAGATAGGAGTGTTTTGAGGTGACCAGGATTGATGAGCTATAAGACGAATAACATGCTGGAACTTTGGCAGGGACGGCGAAAATTTTTTATGATTGCATGAGTCCCGACTCCGTCAAATCTGGATGTGGATTTGGATAGAGTTTTACTGTAGGTGTAGCACAGCGTGTGGGGTAGATATGCATAAAACTCATTGTACAAGAATCACGACGAACTTTCGATATAGCTCGTAAATCGAAAGTTTTAGGTTGGAATGGAAATCATCCCACTTTGTGGAGCTAACGTTTTGAGGAATATTGCCAAAGTTTTAGACTTAATGAATAAATCTTGGCTGAAATATGATAAGTTGACTAAAAGCATCCACACTACTTTTTTTTATCAATCAGTTATTTGAAATGTTTTAACGATATCTCCTCAATAGTAGCTGTTAGAGTTGTGAAGTGAGCAATCCAACCATGCTATCCAATAAAGTCCATATGATGACTAAGTGTCACTGAACGTTTTACTTGAGTTCTACTTTCCTTATATGTTAGGCTCAAAAGGAGTCTATCTTTGCGACAGACTTTTGTCAGATCAATGTGATAGAATTAACTCAAACTTTTTTACTGATGATTAATAATTTGGTGCTACTTGAAACGTGCACTCAAAAGTTTTGGATCTTGAAGTTTGACCTGATAAGTGTTATCAAAAAATATCCCTTTTTTCTTGGATGATTACAGACCATTTAGTTTTATTATGGCATTATATATTATTTACTATGTTAAAACTATCTTTCTACTGAACAAAATCCACTGAGCATTCATTATAAAATACTGACGCATCAAATGTAAGCATTTTCTAAATTGATCTCATCTTTCTAATCAGCTAGATTTCAAGTCTGAAACGTTCGAGTATATAATTAACCCGATTTTCTCTTATTCTTTTTTACAGATATGCTTTCATTCTTTACGATAATGAACAGCAAGCAGCTAGGGTGATTCAACATGCTGATCAATACCGCATTAATGGTCAACTGTTACATGTCTCCTTGTTTCGAAATAGAAAAACAATCATGTACAACGATAAAAAAACTTATCGTTGATTAATAACGTGTTTTTTTTTCTTAAAATTCTCTATTATGTAATTTTAGTGAAAAATATATATCTTTTTTATATATTCGTGCTAAAAATAGACAAAATTTGATGTCTTTAACAAAAAGCTTGTTAGCACAGCTCCTTTGGAGCTGAAATGTGGAATTCACATATATCCTTAAACTTTAATATTCTAATACATGACATGTAAACTGAAAAATTTCGTATACATTTTAGTTGTTTTCATTGATAATCAATGACAAGAGCGAGACTTTGTTATTTATTTCTACATTTAAAACAGAATTTGTTTTTGTTTGAGAGCGTCCTATTGTTATTTTGCATTGTTGCTATTCGCTTATTATCTTTCATTTTTTTTTAAATCGTTTTTCATAATTCAACATTCTTATTATTATAATCATTGGATTACACATCTATGATATCTACAGAAGATCTTACGCACTATTATATATATTAATCATCTCACAAACAATGATGTTGATTATCTTTCAAAATTACAACTTGATACACCTGTTATTCCTGATTGTTAAAGTCTGTAATGGGAATGGAAGGAGGGGGAGCTGCGAGAACTTAAAACTTACACTCACTATTTTCTTCGAAAATATATGTGGGTTCCACAATACTCGTCTTCTGTTTTGTAAATAAATTTTTACTTGCTTCTTGGTAAAATATCCTTGTCATATCACTAACATCCTAACAGAACTATTTCAATAAATCGATCCATAATAACAATTGATGAAAGTATTTTTATATACTTAGGTTTTTTTTTCAAAAAGTTAATTTTACTATATAACACAAACTGATGAAACTCATAAATAAACTTATTAAATTGTTCTTGACTTTCACAAATTAAGTTATTGTCGTGTGGATGAAATATAATCACCAATAGTATTATGAAGCAGAGATGTCCATCGCGGCTCAAAATCTGCCGCTGCCGCGACGCGTCTTAAAAAAAACTTGCCGCTGCCGCGATGGTATTCGAAAAAATGTTTTGATTTTCAAGGCTGTGACTGGTTCGAACTAGAACTGATGCCGCTAATCGATCAGATTCGTTAAGTCTTACAGTATAGCATACATGAACATGCAGATTCTGTGCAAATTCATGAATTTTTGAAATTTTTTTTCTAAAAAAGTTGCTGCCGCGACGGTAAAATAAAAATCTCTCCCGCGCCGCGATGGACATCTCTGTTATGAAGTAAAACCGACTGTTATTGCATAACTTTTATCTAAAGACAATTCATAAATAACAAAAAAAAAAAAACAAATAATTTAAAAATATAAAAACAAACTCGATTATAATCACGTAAACTTAATTTAACCGTAACATCAGCTTTTAATTTTTTATCACGTTCTTTGAAATGATGATATAGTCGTCTGTATGATTTTTAGCTAATACTGTATGATAACCGTATCGATATGCATCAAATTCAATTCTATGAAAAAAAAATATTAATAAAAAAAAAATAATTAATTCACAAATAAAAATGATCTTGTTTCTTCATATGGTTTGATTATTAATAATGAATTTTTCATTGTTTTTGTTGTTAATGTTTGTAGTGTGCCAACAAATAAATTCATTGAATTTAAATTTTTATAGATAAGATTTAATTTTACTTGATAAATATCTCCATTTTGTGCTACAATTTTTTGACATTCATAATAATTCGATATAAGATTGACCTTTAAATTATATGTCCTTTTTTTTAATGCAAAGATTACTCATCTAACTTACTAACCGAATATTTTATTTGAAGAAGGCTAGCAAAATTTATAGTCATTTATCAAGCTTCTTTCAATAAATCTTTATTTCCCACAAAATAAAAAAAACCAAAATAGTAAAATACATCTCTAAAGAAATTGTTGAGGTAAAGTATCTTGTATTTTTCATTGCTGCGTTTATTTAGATTTTCAAACTGTCTCAATTGATCAACTTTACACTGTCACTAGTCGATTCTGAATTGACGTCGATCGGTCATAAAATTATCGAATCTGTTTTATGTCATTCTTCTCTTCAACAAATCATTCTGTCGAAAAGCTTGAAGCCACATTTTTTTTTCATGGCAAAGCAATTCACCAGTCAATTTAGTTGGTTTTCCCTTCAGTTAAACTGATTTATGTGATCTCGAATTTTCATGGTATAAAAACTGATCATCTCCATTATAAATTCAATAGCAAAATACTTCTACCTTTTACACCGAAAAGTATCATGTCCGTTACTTCGATCCTGATTTTAAGAATTAGAAGTTACATTCGTTAGTCGAAGTTTTATCTGCTCTGCTTTTGTTAGTTACACTAAAAATTAAAGGTTTTTGTTGTTGTAATAACACTATTGGCTGATAAAATATCTATATGTGGGATCAAATGTTGCAAGACTTGAAGGCATTACAGCGGGTCACTATCGACATCCATATTGCTATACCGATAAGTTTGAGGGAAAACAGTGTCAAAACGTTCAACGAAGTGGCAGCGCAAAAAATTTAAACATGCAAACGAATAAACCTGAGAGTCAGACGAAGAACTACAAAACCAGGTTTGAAATGTATCCAGATTAGTGCTTTGCTTAACATGGACTAGACTATTGATGAACTTTAAGAACATTTCCTTAGTCATTGTATTTGATTTGTTAAAGATTTGTGTAAAAGTTTTTTTTTGCTATGATCGTTATTCGAAAAATAAATTCACGACCGTTTATTGTGAATTCTTTATTCTCATGTTGCACAGTAGCAAAACAAATATATAAAGAATTATTCTGAAGTAATATTGATATTTTCTAAAAATAATCAGAATCGATAAAAGGAATAGATAACAGATGTGACATACGAAACCTCTAGACAATGTATCACACAGAACATAACGTAAACAAAAAATTAGTCATAAATATCAATAAATGATTAAGACAAAGAAAAACGTAGTAGCTATGCCCACTCCTCTTCAGATGATTCTTTTTGTTTTCAATCAATAATTTGCGATGGTGTGACAAACAATGAATGACGATGAAGAATATCGACGTCATAGTGATTTGACTAGATTCGAACCTATTTTGAAACAAAAAGATGATGAAGTGCTAAATACATAAAGAAAAATCAAAAACTTATTTTTTTTTATAATAAGATGACAACATTTTCAATTCGTGAAGAAATTTAAAAACTTGAAGAGCATGAAAACGAATTAGCTTCGAATCAATGTGGTGTACGTATTAAATTTGATGATGAACAACTTCCTTGAATTACACAAACAACTGTTATTAAAACTGAAATTTATTTTCAAATTAATTTCCACCAAAAGATGAATAGAATAATCGATTTTTCAGATAAATTTCATTAAGAACACCCATAAATCAGATATTTTTGAAGTAGAATATATTGTTATATTTAAAGTAAACAATACAATCGAACTTTTTATCATAAAATCAAATATTTTTCGCAGAAAAAAGATACATCACATAAGACAAATGAAATTTATAAAGAAATTTATCAAAAAAGTTTCTTCTTCATCTAGTAAATCTATTCTTAAAATGCTTCTACGAAAGAAACAGTGTTAACATTGACATCTGATCGATCGTCGATTTCTCGTTCATCTTCTTCAGTTTCTTTAAAGCAGAAACAAACAATCTTCTAATCGTTCTGATTGCAATCAAGTTCAGCATTCCTCTGAAGTGTAACAGCCAAATAAAGATCTATCATCTCAATCATTTTCTTCTTTTCGTTCACTTTTCGAATATTTGATTCATTAAATTCATCTTGAGGATATCGGTAAGTATAAAAGTTGAAAGCAGTCACGATACATGTGACGATCCTGCTTAATGTCTTGTCCTAATCAATTAACCTACAACTATCCATGAATGATAGTGAGCACTTGGGTCCTTTGGTGTTATAGACAATATGGTCTATCATTCACTTTATTAATCGTAAACAAACATATTCGAATGGAAGATCATGTCAAGGGTGAGATGTGAGTATGAGCTACCACCACACCTCTTACTGCTGCTCAAGCAAATCATTAAGTGGCAAAATCTCTAATTCAATTTAATTTCTAAAGAATGAAAACGAGTGAAAATCATGAATCATTTATAGTCGTATATGAATTGTTGTTATGTATTAATGTTGTTTTTCACAATATCTATTAATAAAACTTGAAAAAGATACTTAGTTCACTTTATATGTTTGAATAAATTTGATGAATAGTATACCGTCTGTGAATAATAACAGTAAAGTATTATAGGAAATTGTACAGAAAAAGATTTTTTTTTATTTGAGAAAAAAGTGGTATCTATCGTAAAGATAAGAATAAAAGATAGTTAACTACTTATTATTATCGTTTATATCACTTTCTGATAAAGTTAAGAGACGAGGATGTCAATGTGAATCTGACTCTGTGTGTTACTGGTTGAGGATTATGATCTTCTCATTACCCACACCTACATTCAAAAATTCTTTGATTTGTATTTTATTAGTAAAACGGAAAAAAAAATTATCTATTAATATATTTTAATATGACTTTATTCTAAAACGAGGATGTGGATGTAGATATGTCGACAGAGAGAAGAAACACTCATACTCTATTTACAAACCATTTTTATCACGAATTGTTACTCAAACACTTATTCGTTGTTGTTCACATCAATTAAAATCTATTTTTGAAGAACAATCACAGCATTTTGAACCAGATTTATCTATAGAAAAAGCTGAATCTGTTTTATATATTCATAAAGCAATTACTTATAAAAATTATAATCCATTATGGAAATCAATTTTAAGTGTGACTTCATTAAAAGTATTAAAAAAAATATGTATATATATATATATATATCTTTAGAATTTATTTTTTATTTTAAGGAATTTGATACAAATGTATATTCAATATTTGATCAACAAAATATACTTGTATTATTATATGATGAAATAATTGATTCAATTTTACATATTATTGATCGACTTGATTTAAGCGTTGATAAAGAAAAAGCAGAGGTACTTTTTTGAAAAAAATCTTTTTTTTTTTGGATTATAAATTATATTTAGGATGAAAATGATGAGAATACTACAACAACTGATCTGATCTTCGACATACGACCTGTAAAAGCAAAAGATTTTCGATTTTTTTTCGTAATCTTGCCGATTTTTGCTAGTAAAATGAAGAAAGTTAACAAAAATATTGAGTTAAATTAGACTTCACAGTAATGATCAATGCTGAAATATTGGAATACTCTCTCTCGGTTCACTTGATAAAGCGGCTATTCTAAGTTGCATGGAGATAGATGAATTCTACTGAACTGAAGTTATGGTAGAAAGGAAAAAAACTAATGAATCACACAATCAACAGAGAAGGAAGAGATAGCTGTTCGAAGAAGTCTTGAGAGAAGACTTTAGTAACATCACTTTCAGTTATAGATCAGAGCTCAAAACGATTAGAGTCAAGTCACAGAAATTTTCTCGTGTGAGAACTTTGTAACGAAACTATCTATATAGGGAATATATACACAATAATCGGTAGAAATTTTTTATAATAGATGTGTTGGATAGCATCATGCTTACTTTTTTTTCTTTTATTTACAAACATCCAACCACATTAGAGACTGAAATAGAGTGCTGAATAAGAACGAGGTCGAAGCGAGAAGCGACAAGAAAAAAACTATGGGTAAAGTGAGAAGTAAGCAATTTTTCTCGTTTCGATCTCTGTTATGAACGTCTATATTTCATGAAGGAAACACGGTGTAAATCAAGAAGAAACAGCTGAGATTTTGGTCTCGAAGTCTTGGAATCATAGTTTTTTCTTCAATATCTATTGAAGACTACTGAAGTTTTGAAATTCTTTATTTCTTCCTCGATGTAACTGGTAATGCTTGCGAAGAAGGAGCGAATACGATATTTCTACACAAAAGTCTATGAATAAATTTCAACATTCTATTTTGTTATATTCTTCATAGATTTCGTTTATTCATTTTTGATATTTTATTTTTTTTAACTATTTTTTTCAGAAATTTATTATTGGATTAATTATCAAAATTATTTCAATTTTTATATGATATTATTTCTACATCAATAAAATTAGTCAGTAATATCTTAATTAAATAAAATAAATATTTTTATTTACATATTTATGAATTAGTGGAATATATCGATTTACTACATTTGTAATGAATATTTGTTTAAATCTTGATTATATCAAACTATTTCATAGATCTAAAAAAAAAACTTCATTTTTATTTTAAAATTTTTCTAGTGAAATCGTTCAGTACCAACAACTTGTGTTGGTATTGAAACGAACAAGTTACAGCTATTTGTGCACATGAAGTACTGTCTCGACAGAAACAATATTGTAATGATTTACTTGTTTCATATTTACAATTTATAAAGTTATTAACATCAGAATGTACTGATTATGATTTTGCTGATTATTTACAAGCTATTCAAATAAAAATGTTGCCTTTTTTTGTTAGATTAAATTTAATCATAGTGATTTGTTCTTTTAGCTTGATTTAATAGTAAACTTATGAAAAATTACAACTTAATTGAAAAAAGATTTACTTGATGATGTTTGTAGTTTTGTTTAACACTTTCAAGAGATGATTGATGCTCTTAGTGTGGATCAAAGATCTAGCCTTTATCGAGTGATCCTCACTTAGACAGTAGTTGATAAATAAATGTGAAGTAAAGAAAGAAGATTTAACTGCAATAGTTCAATTAAAAGTATTTTAAGGTGAGAAAAATATCAAGTTATGTGTGTTTTTAAACTTGTCTATTCAAAGCATTTAAGTTCTGTTTAATATGTTCTCTTCATTGTTATTTACTTCTATTTATAAAATTTTAGAACACCGTATGAAAAATACTTAGCCAATTACAGATGAACATCGATTGGCAACTATTTCGCATCCAAAACTGAAAAGTTTCGAAATTTGTTGTGATGAACAATTGAAATCTATGAACATATTAAAATTAGATTTTGAAAAATATCAATTAATTAATTATTTATCTTGTATGAAATCATAAACTTCTACATATGTTAATTTGCAATGTTCTTCACCAATATCTACATCTATCATACAATAACACTCAAGTGAAAGAATCTTTCAACATAATGCTTTGATACAAAAGTCGATGTAGTATTTAAACCACTAAATCCATATCTAGAAATTGATGTTTATTTAATTTCTGACCTCAGTCACAATCATGATGATGATGATATAGATGTATTATTACATTGAAGAAAAAAAACAACATACATTTCTAGTTTTATCATCAATAGCGATACAAATATTTGTAATATCAACATGTAATACTGTTACTGAAAGGCTTTTTTTAGGATCGAAAAATATTGTTACTGGAAAAAAGAACACATTTGGATACCAAAAAGATCAATGAATTATTATTTTTACAGAAAAATGTCAATACTTTAAAACAAATGATCAACGATAATAATATAAAATGAGTTATATCACCATCGTCTACAACCATAGCATCTTCTGAAGAATCTACTTGCACAGTTTCTAAATAACAACAACTTGGTGTCGAAGATAGTTTAAGTGATTCTGACAACATAGAAGTTTATGCGGATTTGTTTATTCACTTTTTTGTGCTATTCTTTTGGAGTCCGGTGCAATTTACTAGTTTGTATGGGTACGCAGGTGTAGATGTTGGATAAAAAGAGACCAAAATCATACGCGCACTCAGATTCACATCGACAGTCACAATCACCCTCCTTCTCAATGTGTGATGCGTGCGTGTGTGAAAATAAATATTAGTGCGCATTTTCTCATCACTTCTCATTAAAAATATGCGAAACGCAAAGGAAGGCAAAATTATAGTGGAAGAGCAGGATGAAAGCACAGAACATGTAAGATAACGAACACATCGTTACTAATTAAAATCATTTACCTTATGAAAATGCCACGCTTCATTGACGCATGTAAATATTGATATGTTGAAAAAAATCGCGAAATTTCGTCCATGATAAATACATAAGAGGCGTTTGCGAACACATATAAAACAAAATTAATATTTTGCAATATTTTTCATCACGTAAATATACTTTATTTTTATGATAACGAGTGGATCAGAGTAAATTAGACTGTTCGTATTTTTAATATTTCTTCTCTATTCTTCATTCAATTGAAACACTTCTTTTTATCAAAAGATACCACTTAAAGTTCTACACAAAATTACAGTATTCATTTAGCAAATACAGTTTCTTCCTTTTTGTTTTGGATCAAACGTTATCATACAATTAAAATAAGTATAGAATGTAAGATTTTTTTTTCTCATGTTTTTTTTTTTGACAAAACGCTTCGTTTTTGTCTATCGATGTTATCTTTGCTGTTATATGATCCCAATCCATAGCTTCAGCAGTTCATCTCATAAAATATAATCTAATAGACATAAATCAGGCAGATTCAATGGCTAATGGTTCTTAGGCATGTGTGCAAAAAATGACCTGTACATCATTCTCCACTGAGGTAACACGTATGAACCTAAAAAAAATTCTGTTAACATCCAGTTTGAAAAATTAGCCTGCTCTTTTTTTGTAGATTAGCCATGGCTGACTCTTTGACCTTCTGTTATGGTAAATAGCTAAGGTTTTCATGGGTTAGCAACAGCACGCGCTTTGTTTCAACAGGCAGTTTTCTTATTAATACTCATCTCTTGAAAATGAGACACCATTTCACCTGGCGGATATTTACTTTTATTCGAACTGTGCATAGACAGTCGGGACTATATGACAAATTGATAGAGCCAGCATTGTAAATCATTTTTATCCATAATTTATTGGTTTGTAATGAAACTATTCCGGCAAAATCATGATAAATTTTCGTCGATCCACCACCATTTTCATATTTACTTGTTATAGCTGTTTCTATGTCTTTATTTCTCACCTTTTTCTCAAATATATCTAAGACAATTTTTGATTCCAATCATATATGATTTTGTAGAGAATTTCAAGCGTCATCTTTTGATAAAAAAAAAAGATATCCCGATGTAATGAAGAATAGAAGAGGAATATTCAAAATACAAACAGTCTAATTTATTCTGTTCCATCCATTATTTAAACTATAGACAAAATCATAGTTAAAAGCTGTTAGTGCAATTCCTGAGAGATTATAATGTGAAACACGATGTAGGTGCTCTTGGTAATTACAGGAGATTGTCATAATCTATCTCTTTCGCGACACATTCCTAAACTATCCTTTTACTTATTCTTCCAAAAGTGGAATTAGGAAATAGCTCGTATACTATAATAAGACGTCATTGACTTACAGTCTGTGACCGTATATCAAAACGTCTTGCACCGTCGGTCGTGGAGTCCTATGTTGTCTGTCGTGGTCTGTGATCGAGTTTTAAGATTGTCTTAATAATTATTTTTCAATGCGCCAACAATTAATTATTTATTATTTATTAAGTAAATAGTAATTAGTGACTAAGTAGTTATATTAATTAGTGATTAATTAACTATTAATTAAAATGTTTGTGACGGTCTGTGGAAGGGGAAGTGAGTCCAAATCTCTATCCTATATACTTCGACAGTCCTTTTAGATCGTGTTTCACAAAAAGAATTCAGGTAGATGAGATCAAGTTGATTCCATCTGCCCAAAGAGTCATAGCTGTTAATGACTTTCCTAAATAAAAATTCTGAATCCTTCTAGTGTCTAGATGCATCTTTACCTTTTTTATTAGCCTTCTGTTGAGGATCATTTTATTGGTTTAATCATTAATAATATTAATGGAATATTTTAATAATTATTAAATAATTCTAACTAATGTTTTAAAAGTATTTTTTCTCTGAAGGATAAGTTGTTTTCTAAAAAAGTACATTACTAATGAAAACGCAGAAGAAGATTTCACGAAAAAAAAGGACTAGAGAGCCAGGTATTTTTCAAAATTATAACTTCGTCATTTCTAAAAGCGAATGCGGCTGCGGAATTTGGGTATGGATGCGGGTGTGGACCGACTTTATATCCACACCTATACCCACATCCTCATATCAACTCCTATTGCATAACTAGTTTTCAGACTGGGATGTGTTCGGCCAAAGTTAGCCTATTCGAACCCACTTCCCGATTTCGATACTAGTCTAAACTCAAGTGTTTTTTGAATGGACTAAGGCGATCTCATTCATTTCTCAATTATGTCACTATGGCTAATATGTTTTTCTCATACATTTCAGCATTGTTTCCACGAATACGACTTATTGTTTTACACACTTGAGTGATATTGATTGAATTAGTCTTTTGGTTTTCTTTTTGTAAGTATGTGTATTAGGGACGCTGTAAAAACATCCAACGAAAGTATTCAATTCTGATTTTAGTCATACCAACGTGAGAAAAAAGTATTTACTCACCGAATAGGTATATTCGACAGTATTCAAATCAGTGACGAATTCATCATCGATAGCTATTACTAAAATATACATTTGTGAAATTCGTTGTGAAGAATTCTTCGATAATGGGTATTTTTGATTTACACGAACCAGAAGATGGACGCGATCGATTCTTCCTGTATGCAATGATTATTCTTCCATTCTGCTCCGCTAGTTCCTACGCCTTTGATGCATGGTATCACTATATGCATCCCCCTACAGGACGCAACTATATAGGACTATTGTCGACGATTGTCATCATCTTCTCCTATTTACAATACTGTGCTCCTATTCGATCTCGACGTTTGTTGGCCATCTATCATATACTTTTGTGGATCATAAACCAATTCGCTACACTAGGCTACTTGATCTACTATATCAAGAAACATGATAAATTCAAAATTTTTGTTTATATTGGATTTTTCATAATCGAGACTTATTTTACGATCGGTCTCCTATATTGTCGAGTTTTCAAGAAGCTAGAATCACATATCATTGTCGAAAATAAGCATCTCTTTCATTTTATGTCTCGCTTAGA